GGCATAGTTCCTCCATGCTGGCTCAGGAATTCTGGGAGTTGAAGTCCACAAGCCATGAGGGGGGGCATAGTTCCTCAATGCTGGCTCAGGAATTCTGGGAGTTGAAGTCCACCAGTCATAAAAGGGCCAAATTTGAAGACCCCTGGTTTAAATATTTAAATATTTTTTCCTCACAGTCACATGATCAAAATTCAGGCATTTGGGCAGGGGTAGGCTGCCTTGGCTCTTTTATGACTGGTGGACTTCAACTCCCAGAATTCCTGAGCCAGCCATGCTGAGGGGAAAGGGAGAAGTTTCCAAGCTGAGCCATGCTGGCTCGGGAATTCTGGGAGTTGAAGTCCACCAGTCATAAAAGAGCCAAGGTTGCCTACCCCTGGTCTAAGGTTTCCTGCCCGAGCAGGGGGTTGGACTAGAAGACCTCCAAGGTCCCTTCCAACTCTGCAGTTCTGTTATTTTACTTTATTTTTATCATCTACGCAACCATCCAGGATGATTTCATTAGTGACGCAAAGGAGGCTGCCGGCTTTGGCAGAGTCTAAACACACCCGGGGTTTGTCGATTTTACTTTTGGGAGGGGGGAAAAGGGGGGGAGAAGAATCCAAACCATCTTTTCATGCAACTCGAAGAACAAGGCGCTTGTTGCCAAGATGTAATACAAAATGTTATGGGAACAGTCGCGCAGTTTTTGTGTGTGGTTTTCCACAAGCTGCCATCTACAACTGCAGAAACAGCAAAAGCCAAATTCAGCCATCCGTTACCGCTTTCCCACCAGCTGAGAGAATCTTAGCAGTTAACAATAAGCCACGTTTGCCACAGCGGTTAGGGAATTATGGGCTGGGGAATCCTGCAGTCCGTGGATCATATAGCCGGCATGGCTTCTGGATTCTGGAGGGTTTGTCTTGTTTTACAGCAAATTCCGCTGTCTTTATATCTCATAAAAAGAAGCTTTGCAATAAATGTTATTCAGACACGAGGTTTTAATAATAATAACAAGAACAAGAATAATAATAAAGTTGGAAGGGACCTTGGAGGTCATCTAGTCCAGCCCCCTGCTCAGGCAGGAAACCCTGTTTCATTTCACTTTGTGCTTTGCTCCAATTATGCCGGATCTCACCTCCGCAACCCTGAGCCAACGCATCAAGTTGAAAATTCGTTTATATTTCATTTTTCTTAACTGCCCGTCTCTCTGGGAGTATTTGATTCCCCTCAACAAGCATATCAGGGTCAAAACATCCAACTGAACTTAGATAAGGTTATCTTGACACAGACGTCTCCCGTTGTCGAGTTCAACGGGGACACACTTTAAGCTCAAACGGAGGTGTGTCCTCACCCCAAGTTCTGGGAATATCAGGGGCAACTTCAATTCCAAAGGAATGATTTCCTCTAGCTCAGCTTTTCACTTTCAGGAAAAACGGAAAAGAGTCGCCTTTTATTTCTAGCAACAAAGTGAAGGATTGTGCGGAAACACTTTGGTGGAAAACACAACGATGGGGAACAGAGTCAGAGGCACGACACGGATGTCCTGTTCCTTTCCTGGTAGGAGTGACATCCCTGGAGAGCGTTGCCCCTCGTGACACCTGATTTTTGTAAATATATCAGTTTAATTTTGATCCTAATTTAAAGGAATGGTGATATATTAAGATTGCATTTGGAAACATTCCTCCCTTTCTTCCTTGTCCAAAACTGTTGGTAATATGGCATCTTCAGCTGCCAAAATATTTGTGACGCTCTTTTGGTCCCCCACGAAAAATAATCACAAGATTAATATGTACCCTCATGGCTCTGTTTCCTCACCTTGGCCAATTGAAGGTGAATGGACTTCAACTCCCAGAATCCTCAGCAACGGCTAGGCTGGCTGTGGGATTCTGGGACAGGAAGTCCACATACGGGTAAGTCTTCAACTGAACACAATTCATTTGGTGACGGTTCAAAGTTACAACGGCACTGAACAAAAGCGAGGTATGAATGTTTTTCACACTTATTAGCCATTGCAGCATCCCCCCCAGGGTCACCTGATCAAAATTCAGACGCTTGGCCACTGCTTCATATTTACAACGGATCGCGGCGTCCCAGGGTCACGTGATCCCCTTTTGCGACCTTCTGACAAGCAAAGTCCATGGGGGAAGCCAGATTCACTTAACAACCGGGTTACTAACTTAACAACTGCAGGGATTCACTTAACAACCGTGGCAAGAAAGGTCGTAAAAAGGGGAAAAACTCGCTTAACAAATGTCTTGCTTAGCAACGGAAATTTTGGGCTCAATTGTGGTCCCAAGTATGGACTACCTGTACTTGAAGGTGAATGGACTTCAACTCCCAGAATTCTCAGCAATAGCTAGGCTGGCTGTGGAATTCTGGGACTTGAAGTCCATATCTATATCTATATCTATGTCTATGTCTATATCTATCTATCTATCTATCTATCTATCTATCTATCTATCTATCTATCTATCTATCTATCTATCTATCTATCTATCTATCT